CCCTACTAGCACATTTTGACCTCATCCGTGATCTACTGCTAAACAGGCGCATGGCAACAAAGAATCCAATTTTTAAGTGGATCATGTTTCTCTGTAAAATACAAGAGCAGAAAAATGGAAGGTCAATGCATATGGACAAAGTTCGGCCAAGATGATCATTGATTATTTTCTACAAAAGTTTTCGGTTTGCTGCTCATTTTGAACAGACAAGAATGCACTCTACGGATTTTTGCTTGTTAAGCTGTTAAGTTTTAAGCTCTTGGTTTAAATCTTTCTTGTATTATCTTTATTACTTTGAACATGACCAGTAAAAAAAGAGACTTGACTGAGCTGAAATTTCTTTGGCCAGTCAGTTAAAAAATTATTTTGATTCCTGCCAGAGGTGCTGACAAAAGACTGGAGAATTCCAGCTTTAGCACAGAATGCAAGTTTTTTTTTAATCATTATTATTATTATCATTATCATCATTATCATTATTATTTAATATTTAACTTTCTTTTGTAAATGGTAAATATGCCACACTCTCCAAAGCGGCCATGATCTAGTTCCAAAAATACTATATAGGAAATAACTAAGCTTAATTATGCTCATAATAGAATGAAGTTAATAAGCTTCTTACCTGTAAATTACCAAGAAATTTGTCCAGCTTGAACCCCTTGGCATCTAAACGAAGGCAGGAAATTCAAATCTCAAAAAAATGAGGATTATTATATAGAATTTTATAGACTTAAGCTAATATCTCCCTGCAACAATCAGCATAAATATTACTTACACATACAAGCCGGTGTTTTGTTATTGAAAGAGTTCATCTTGAAATTTCACAGATATAACCCTGAAGCGTTCTATAAGCCTTCTGATTTTCACCACTCAGCTGTTTGACTCAAACTGCACGCCAATTCTTACATAGAGAACTTATCGAAAAAAAATTGCTGAAGACCAGTAATGACGAGGGCTCAAAGTCATATACGCATGACAGCATACCAAATACCGCTGATCGCGGCTTGTTTTTTTGTTTTGTTTTGTTTTGTTTTTTTCGTTTTCGTTTTGTTTTGTTTTCATTCGTCTGTTGGGTTTTGTTTCCTGTGCATATAAATGATCATGTAAAAGACCAATCAATGCCCATTTTGTGGAAGGACAAGGAAAAACTTTCAAGTTTGTTTTTTTGTCTCCCGAAAATGGATGAGGAGGAGATTGACTTTAAAGTTGAAGCAGAAGCTGTGATAGAGGACATTGGTTTCACCGTCAAATCGATCAGCGTTTCAAGGAAGCTTCCCTCTTCTCGCGAGTGTGTTTACTTGAATGTGCTGACTAAGGAATGTAAAAGCCTGTGCATTGAACTTAGTGTCTTAGGATTTCGGGTAAGTTATGTTTTTTTTCTCAATGCCTTAGTTCGTATTCATCGCTCTGTGCTATAATTAACAATGAGTTGTTTGAAATTATGAAAATGAGTTGTTTCCGATAAAGTGAGGCGCAAAAACAAAACCCGTCGGTACTTTCACCTCACGTGCGACTCATAATTATAATTTTTCTACCGAAAAGCCGGTTTCACCGCTGCAATAAATAAATAAATACTATTACTGGATTAAAGCTTTTACTTTTTTTCAAGACTACGTGCAGGTACACGATCTTGTACAGCGACCACCACAGAATTGAACAAAGTAGTGTGGACATTCCAAGGCAACTTTATTTGTTTGTTGATTTGTATATATGATATAATATAATAATAACTTTAGGCGACACCTTCAAAATTTCTTTTCCAGCAATGATAATAATACACTGATTTATCCTGTACTTGTACTCCAACAACATTGTTTGTATTTGTTACACTTACAGGTCAAAATTAAATTCAGGTTAAAATTTTATAACCTATAACCTTCCTGTAATTTCTTGATTCCCTCATTAAACAAAATTTTCTTGCAGTTCTCCCTCCCTCCACCCTATACAAAGTTGAAAATTAAAAAATCAAAAAGTTAAAAATTCTGTATACATGTGTCAAATGTTGTTTGTGAGGTGAGGGGAGGGGTTGGACCTGTGTGAATTGGAAGCAACCAAAAATGCAAAAATGCCCCAAGACTTTTGTCCATGATTGTAGTTTGATTTTTGTAATTTCCTTTGTCTCCTTGATCTAAATTATTTATGAATTATGGTCAGAATCAAAAACAAAAGAAGTTGAGAATCAACATAGGTTAAAAAAAATTTTGACCTGAATTTCATTTTTACCTCTAACATGTTCAGTGTTGTCATTTAATGCTTATTTGAAAAATTATTCAACATTTCAGGTTGTTGGTGATAACTTTGATGAGAATCAAGAAGCAAAGGCATCTAAGTATTTTGAGACAATGTATGCCTTATTAGATTCAGTTAGTCCTGGATATTCTCAATCATTTGGAGAAGCTCTTATAAAGAAACTCTCTTCACTCCAACGTGATGGAGCTGTAGATGATGATCAAGCTAACTGTGATATCCCTGATGAGAAGACTGATGATGTTACAACTGCGTCTTGACAACAGTAATATGTGCTGATGGTGTAAATTTTTTATCACTCGCAAATATTTAATATTAAATTTTTATTTTCATTTTTTTTGACACAAACTGCAGAAAAGAGGTTTATAAATCTTTTAATAATTTGTTATTTAATAAGTAAGCATGAGTGGAATGAAGTGATATAATAATAGTTCTTTGTTCTGGATTAGAACAAGTTTCCATAAGCAGCCATGCATCTCCATTTTATAGACCCCTTTTTCGGGTCCTGAGGGTGTTCACTTATGAGAGCTTCCACTGTATGAGCTCTCAGGAGCTAAAGGGGCCTTTGCATTTCAAATTTGGGGGGTTTAATATTATTAAAAGGAGGAGCTTATTACTGGATTGGTATTTGATGTATCATTTCCCTTTAATTTTATTTTTGAGTGTGTTATTTTTAAAGATTAAAAACTGTAATATTATTGTATTGTAATATTACTATCACAGCCACTACCATTTTGCTGTGCTTTACAGTATCCACTCCTTCCAGAAGTAATGCCACTGCAGCAGTTTCTACTTGTACTCAAAAAAAGTAAAAGCAAACCATGAAAAAACGAGACTTCGAGACTTATCAAAAACGCTTCCGAGATTTCGAGATCCTGCCAAAATTTTCCGAGACCCACGTTTTTCGAGGTACCATTCGCCACCCCTACTAGCACATTTTGACCTCATCCGTGATCTACTGCTAAACAGGCGCATGGCAACAAAGAATCCAATTTTTAAGTGGATCATGTTTCTCTGTAAAATACAAGAGCAGAAAAATGGAAGGTCAATGCATATGGACAAAGTTCGGCCAAGATGATCATTGATTATTTTCTACAAAAGTTTTCGGTTTGCTGCTCATTTTGAACAGACAAGAATGCACTCTACGGATTTTTGCTTGTTAAGCTGTTAAGTTTTAAGCTCTTGGTTTAAATCTTTCTTGTATTATCTTTATTACTTTGAACATGACCAGTAAAAAAAGAGACTTGACTGAGCTGAAATTTCTTTGGCCAGTCAGTTAAAAAATTATTTTGATTCCTGCCAGAGGTGCTGACAAAAGACTGGAGAATTCCAGCTTTAGCACAGAATGCAAGTTTTTTTTTAATCATTATTATTATTATCATTATCATCATTATCATTATTATTTAATATTTAACTTTCTTTTGTAAATGGTAAATATGCCACACTCTCCAAAGCGGCCATGATCTAGTTCCAAAAATACTATATAGGAAATAACTAAGCTTAATTATGCTCATAATAGAATGAAGTTAATAAGCTTCTTACCTGTAAATTACCAAGAAATTTGTCCAGCTTGAACCCCTTGGCATCTAAACGAAGGCAGGAAATTCAAATCTCAAAAAAATGAGGATTATTATATAGAATTTTATAGACTTAAGCTAATATCTCCCTGCAACAATCAGCATAAATATTACTTACACATACAAGCCGGTGTTTTGTTATTGAAAGAGTTCATCTTGAAATTTCACAGATATAACCCTGAAGCGTTCTATAAGCCTTCTGATTTTCACCACTCAGCTGTTTGACTCAAACTGCACGCCAATTCTTACATAGAGAACTTATCGAAAAAAAATTGCTGAAGACCAGTAATGACGAGGGCTCAAAGTCATATACGCATGACAGCATACCAAATACCGCTGATCGCGGCTTGTTTTTTTGTTTTGTTTTGTTTTGTTTTTTTCGTTTTCGTTTTGTTTTGTTTTCATTCGTCTGTTGGGTTTTGTTTCCTGTGCATATAAATGATCATGTAAAAGACCAATCAATGCCCATTTTGTGGAAGGACAAGGAAAAACTTTCAAGTTTGTTTTTTTGTCTCCCGAAAATGGATGAGGAGGAGATTGACTTTAAAGTTGAAGCAGAAGCTGTGATAGAGGACATTGGTTTCACCGTCAAATCGATCAGCGTTTCAAGGAAGCTTCCCTCTTCTCGCGAGTGTGTTTACTTGAATGTGCTGACTAAGGAATGTAAAAGCCTGTGCATTGAACTTAGTGTCTTAGGATTTCGGGTAAGTTATGTTTTTTTTCTCAATGCCTTAGTTCGTATTCATCGCTCTGTGCTATAATTAACAATGAGTTGTTTGAAATTATGAAAATGAGTTGTTTCCGATAAAGTGAGGCGCAAAAACAAAACCCGTCGGTACTTTCACCTCACGTGCGACTCATAATTATAATTTTTCTACCGAAAAGCCGGTTTCACCGCTGCAATAAATAAATAAATACTATTACTGGATTAAAGCTTTTACTTTTTTTCAAGACTACGTGCAGGTACACGATCTTGTACAGCGACCACCACAGAATTGAACAAAGTAGTGTGGACATTCCAAGGCAACTTTATTTGTTTGTTGATTTGTATATATGATATAATATAATAATAACTTTAGGCGACACCTTCAAAATTTCTTTTCCAGCAATGATAATAATACACTGATTTATCCTGTACTTGTACTCCAACAACATTGTTTGTATTTGTTACACTTACAGGTCAAAATTAAATTCAGGTTAAAATTTTATAACCTATAACCTTCCTGTAATTTCTTGATTCCCTCATTAAACAAAATTTTCTTGCAGTTCTCCCTCCCTCCACCCTATACAAAGTTGAAAATTAAAAAATCAAAAAGTTAAAAATTCTGTATACATGTGTCAAATGTTGTTTGTGAGGTGAGGGGAGGGGTTGGACCTGTGTGAATTGGAAGCAACCAAAAATGCAAAAATGCCCCAAGACTTTTGTCCATGATTGTAGTTTGATTTTTGTAATTTCCTTTGTCTCCTTGATCTAAATTATTTATGAATTATGGTCAGAATCAAAAACAAAAGAAGTTGAGAATCAACATAGGTTAAAAAAAATTTTGACCTGAATTTCATTTTTACCTCTAACATGTTCAGTGTTGTCATTTAATGCTTATTTGAAAAATTATTCAACATTTCAGGTTGTTGGTGATAACTTTGATGAGAATCAAGAAGCAAAGGCATCTAAGTATTTTGAGACAATGTATGCCTTATTAGATTCAGTTAGTCCTGGATATTCTCAATCATTTGGAGAAGCTCTTATAAAGAAACTCTCTTCACTCCAACGTGATGGAGCTGTAGATGATGATCAAGCTAACTGTGATATCCCTGATGAGAAGACTGATGATGTTACAACTGCGTCTTGACAACAGTAATATGTGCTGATGGTGTAAATTTTTTATCACTCGCAAATATTTAATATTAAATTTTTATTTTCATTTTTTTTGACACAAACTGCAGAAAAGAGGTTTATAAATCTTTTAATAATTTGTTATTTAATAAGTAAGCATGAGTGGAATGAAGTGATATAATAATAGTTCTTTGTTCTGGATTAGAACAAGTTTCCATAAGCAGCCATGCATCTCCATTTTATAGACCCCTTTTTCGGGTCCTGAGGGTGTTCACTTATGAGAGCTTCCACTGTATGAGCTCTCAGGAGCTAAAGGGGCCTTTGCATTTCAAATTTGGGGGGTTTAATATTATTAAAAGGAGGAGCTTATTACTGGATTGGTATTTGATGTATCATTTCCCTTTAATTTTATTTTTGAGTGTGTTATTTTTAAAGATTAAAAACTGTAATATTATTGTATTGTAATATTACTATCACAGCCACTACCATTTTGCTGTGCTTTACAGTATCCACTCCTTCCAGAAGTAATGCCACTGCAGCAGTTTCTACTTGAAAGCAAAAAGAAAATAATAGTTTTATAAATGGGATGTAAACATGTTTTAAACTACTGTTTTTACATATATTACACTTTAAAGTCATGTGGTTGGACAATTTAATGAAAACAATTTCATAAAATGTCTTTTAGTTCTTAATAAACAACAGTTTTCAGAAGTGTGACTATTACTTCAGTCTCAGCTTTCAGAAAAGTTCCACATAATATTTGCCTCTGGATTTGCACTAGCCTTTTGTTCACTATAAATATCTTTTGATAACAACCTCAAAGCTATTGCTACATACATGTTAAACTTCTTGATTTGGAACACATCCCTATTCTCACTGAATCTTAACCCTAAACCTCAACTTGCAGTTTCAAAATTACTACATCAACTTTTCCTTTGAACTTCCCAGTTTTGTTTGTGATATCTACATGTATCAATGAATTATCTTATCCATGCGGGAACCTCAACCAGTGACCCATCCTCGGTTATGGCTCTGTCCTGATCTTTCCTGATCTGCAAGAATTTTAACTAACTCTCTTAAAGTGTAACAAAATGTCAAAAACAACAAGAAGAAGCCTAAAGGCACCAACAAATTTGCATAATTATTGAAGTGCCCACAAAAACTATACTTGTTTCAAAGCTACGCATATTTTGAGTAAAATGTACTATTATTAATACAAAAGGAATTCGAAGTTGCTTTTCCATAAAACCCTCATACTTTTGGAACCATCTGTTGTGACACTGTAGCTCACGTATGTGATTTTATTTTATTGTCAATAATATATTTATATATATACTCCAAAAGGCCATTTCCGAGTTCCCCCGGGGCCTCTGTTTCAAAACGAGGGTAGGTGCTCAGCCTTTGATATGGAAATCATTTTTCATTCTCATGCAAATTTCACAAGAAAGGTTGTGCACCTAGCCTCATCTTGAAAGGGAGGGTTTTTGGAACTCGGAAGTGGCCTATTGAGCTTTGGCAGCCTGTGTGTCAGACTGGGAAAGCGAGAGGAAGTGCAAAGGTATTTCTTTGCACGTTGTTCTTTCGTTTTTTTTTTGTTTTGTTTTCTCCATACTTCACATGTCTGATGAGTAAAATCCCCTTCCAAAGCTTGCGCAACCACATGGCAACAAAAGCAAAAAAGTTAAGTGGCTTTTTTTTAAAATATTAATAAGTGTATGTGTATTCTTCCAAACTATATGACTCTATCTCATGCAAATTTGTCAAATGCAGGTGAATTTTCCTGGAGCTGCATTCTTGGAGTTCACGTAAAAAAGAAAAAAATTGACCATGGATTGTTCTTTACATCCATCCCTAAAATGTCACATATTTGGAGAATTTCATCTCGTAGTCAAGCAGTAACAAGCAGTTACAGTCAAGCAGTGTACGTGATGCATGCAGAGTTATTTTGCTCATTGCTTTTTTGAACACGTTGCCATTACCATTGTGGTCACTTTATTAAATTCCCTGATATGCATTCCATCCAGCTAACTGGTACTGTACCTAAAGTACTGTACTCAAACAACTTTGATTGTGGCTTTAACCGTTAAACAAAATAATGCACAATACATCACTTCCATTTTTTGTTTGTTTTTGAGAGCTTTTAAATTTTTTATTGATTTTTTTTGTCTACCCACACACTGTAACTAGAGCCCTAAATAACTACTGTCAAACTCAGAAAACCATGAAAACCTGAAAAATTTCAGGAATGTTGATTGTGTACTGGCCAATCACAATAAAATTCAGGATACCCAAGCAAACTTCAAAACCACAAACTAATTACCATTGCTGTTTGCAGTTTTAGTTATCTCACGCCTTATTGGCTTATTTCTTGCAACACAATAACATTCCATAAATATTTCTGGTGTTCACAGTTTAGTGAGTTTCACAGTAATGCTAAATAATGTTAATAATTTAAGGTGACGTCCAAAACACAGAGAATGGCAAGCCTTTGGTGGCTGCAGTGCAATCGTGCTAATTCAAGTTGCATTGGCAATGATAGATTTAACTCGAATCATTATAGTCTGCTTAAACTACTACCTGACTAAATTTCATCCTACGTACAAGAAATGTATGCTGCAAAGGCAAAACTGCTCTTAGTGACAAATAATAATGTCTAAAAAGCAGTTCTGTGAGGACAAGAGGCTTTTAAAAAATAGTCAGCTCCCCTGTATACTATTAAGAAACACAAATGCTGTAGCAGCTTCTAAAGGTTAATGTAAACTACTTTCCTTACAAAGATTAGCAATTATTGTTACTTTATGATGACTATACTAAAATAATAATCTATTAAGTTGTGAGAAATGCATTAATTCCCCTACTAACTATAAACTACAAATTTACAGTGTGTAAGTACTTTAAAAAACTTTTAAGCTACATACATTATTTTAAAAATAGAAAATTATTTAATCATTAATTCAGTAATTTCATACTGGTCCCTTTTTATGCTAGTAGAAAGAAGGCACAATCCAATTGTTTGGTTGCCACTTTTATGCTTTCCATGACTGTAGCTATTTTACACTAAAGGCTCTCTACAGACAAGTGTTGTCGAAAAAATTAATAATCAAACTCAATATAACTTTATCATCAAATGCATTAAAATCACACCATTTGGAACTTTAATTTAGCAAGTTTTCATTCAGCAGGTTAAAATTAAGTCTCACAAAGTTAAATCAATACTCTGACCAATCACAAATAACTTACTAGCCTATACAAAAAAATATATTATGGGAAATTATCTGATGTGAACAAGACACAAGTGACTGACACAATCCAAAAATGTCCTCTGGCCCACTAAAATGTGGAACAATGATCTTGCATCTTGCTTGACTTGTCTTTTGCTTTTTTTAAATTTTTGATCAGTGCAAACAATAGGTGGCTCCTTGATAGATCAGGTTCTTTATCGTAGATTAATTCCATCCTGTGCAGGGTGCAAGTAAAGAATTATCCTCTCATTCCCAAATGAAGAGTTCTTCTTAGTGGTGATACACCTGGCCACAGGCCCCTGAAATAGAAACCAGAAACAAAAAATAAGTTTTTAGACAAGGAGATGTACATTGTATTTCAACTTGACTTTAATTAAGGAGGTCTAGGGGAAATCAGAAAATGAAAACATTTAAAACATAACATTAATGTGTTCTGTAAGCATTATTATTAATCAAATTCAACTTATTCGCTTGAGCCTACTGAAAGGGCAGTGAACCACAATGACTGCTCCGCTATTTTACTTCCTACACTGTACATTATCAACTATTTTGTTTAGCACTGGGGTCAAGCTTTTTGGTTGGCACTACCTACCTGACTAATCCATTCCAGTAGACTTCAGGGAGAATATCTTTTTTCATGTAATACATTGTGTATCTCTCCTGGAAAAAAAGGAAAAAATATACCAAATTGTGTGTTTATAATTATGGTCTCTTTAATCAATTTCTCATGACTGTAAGAATCAGGAGACTAATAATTACAATAAGGTAGATAATGAGGCCTTCAATGTTATTTGACTTGCATAATTTTACTGTCAGCTAGACTTCCAAGGCAGTGAACAAGTGGCTTAATAATTTGAATGAAACAAATTTAATGTATTCCCTTGCTTTTCTGTACATGTACAATATAAACATGGGTTCAGAAGACTTTAGAAGTCAAGTAACTTACAAAGGAAGGCTCTAGGAGTCCAAAATACAGGCAGAATTCCGAATAGAAGGTACTGTATCAGAGCTACAATCCGTGACAAAATTATGTAGTTGAGACACTTTGCCCAAAAGGGGCTTTCTGACACTTTACTGACTTCCAGAGGGGAAAATAAGGCTTTTCCTCCCCCATCCCCTCCATGCAATGTTGTGCCACTGTTTGAGCTACCTAAAGAAAACAACAAACACCCCAACCTTGAATAAAGAAGAGGGGGGAGGGGTGTGGATTCTTTTGTTGTCTCTGTAGTTACCCTATTTGAGTACAATGTCCCAACAATTTTGTTTGCGATAGCAGGTCACAGAGGTTCTGCCCCACCCCCTCAACCCCCTATTACAGCCACCTCCCCAACTGTTAACTTTGTTACATAGCCACGTACTGTTCACACTTACCTTTGATTGATCAAAGGGAAATGTTTCCAAAGGGTTGCCATTGTAGTCAAATTCAGCAAGAATTAGTTTATTGTAACCAGTGACAAGCGGACATGATGTGTATCCATCATACTGTAGTTGAAAAAAATAAATAATTCTTTCAGCAAAATTGTTGAATATTTACAATGTATACCTAGATTTAGATTCTATGGCATGCAAGACATCTGAGTACATGATGGCAACAACAAACTTAAAGTGTAGAGTAGGAAATTTAATGCAGTTCAATCTGTGAATCACCTTACGATTGACTGAGCCCCAGGGTTAATATACAGTCAAGTAAATATATTGTTTAATCAAGTAATTAGATGTATCAAATACTGGTACATGCAGAGAAAACACACATTCAAAAACAGTTCCTTGGATCCATGATTATAACAAAATACACCAGAAACTCAAGTAACTGGCTTCAACTGTCTATCATGGTATTCCTGACAGTGTAGTATCACGGAACAGGCAGAAATAGCTGTTTTGCTAGCACAAACCAGAGGACTGGGTCGGTTAAGAGGATGGCACGCTTTTCCTGAGATATGTTTGGTTGTTTTTTGCAAATTGGAATAAGTCTAGTCAGCATTCATTCAAGCTCCGAAATTTTATTTTATTTACTTGTTATACTTGTTTGTAGGCATTTAGCAGTTGTTAGTTTCCATGCACTTCTATCCCTGAGTTGTCAGCACCACTTCTGAATTAAGCAGGCGGGGTATACGTTCCCTTTATTCCACATTTAGTGATTTTGGGTTTAATAATATCTGGTGGTGTCATACTTAATTGGTTTAGAGGTTCAATTTTTGTCTTTGATAGTGGGTTTTGTAACTTTGTAAACTTGTGCGGTCTTTGTATTACATCATGTATCTTAAATACAGTACAATCGCAATAAACTGGCTTTGTGAGGTCCTTGCTGACCTATCTACATGTATCTACTCAGCATCTATCTACATCTACCTATCTACTCTGTGTGTGCATCTTTCTGGGTGGTGTAAGCAAAATAAATATAATATGGACTCGACCGTATCGAGCAGGGAGTTAATTACGGTAGTGTAAACGGAACTAATGTGGTCAGACGGGTCGGTGTCGTCGTCGTCAAAATGGCAACCCACTTAATCGTGTCAGTGGTTACCGTTTATTGTTGGAATATTTTTTGTGTCTCATTGTAATCTTGTCAACATCAACAAATCCAGTCTCATCTGAGATGGGGCTTCCAATTAGGCAATCTGGTGGTCCCATGGGAGGTGTCACATGAATCATGTCATACTGCAACCCATCAAAACATACATGTTATTCTACAATCATCACATACATATTACTCAGCCCTTAAACAGTCTAAAAAACTAAGCTATTTTATTTATTAGGTTCACAACAATTTTATGAATAATTCAATCCATCAAGGCAAAACTATTCACTGTCAGTGGACTTGTTTATCACAGGCACTGATCATGAGCTTAAAACACTTATTAAATAACTGCATTACAGTTGAACCTCTCTACAATGGTCACCTTGGGGACAGAAGAAAGTGGCCGTTGTAAAGAGATCGCCGTTGTAGAAAGGTTTTAAACAAGACTTAATGACTTGTATAGATTTTTTGTGCGCTGGGATGAACAAAAGTGGCTGTTGTAAAGAGGTAGGCATTAGTGGAGGATCAACTGTATTTCACTGTTCTTACCCCCCCCCCCCCTCCCCCTTAAGACAGAAAAAAAAATAGACAGCTACATCTATTTGATCACAACTCTTACATCCCAAGAGTGACCAACTTCAATTCCCTCCAAACAATATCAATACATAATATAAAGAACCAGTTGTGAGAATTAATAAATGATCACATGAGGAAATTAATGCTTTGATCTTTGAGCAAATTTCCACAACTGATTCTTTGAGGAAAAGTATGGAGATTAGTTTAGAGAATTTGTGGGTAGATATTGGGGCTTAACGGGTTAAATACATGTAAATGTATTTAATATTAAAAAAAACTATTTGTTCATATTAAGAAGTTCACTCAACAGTGTCCTAACTTTGCCAACTACTGTACTTGTATACAAAAGACTTTAACTATGTTGTACAGCTGTACATGTAGCTATGAAATTCTGTTATCAGGTGAAACCAGAACTTAATTTTTCTCTGTCTCAGACTCCTGTGAATAATTAGGGCTGGAAACCAAAAGGAAATGCTGAATCAAACTGGGTAAAATACTGATTTTAACTCAAATCCATTTCACCTTCAACACATACACCATAATTTACCAGCAAGACCTGTTTCTTGATAATACCAGGCACTAATTAATCAACAAGTCTTTTGAATTTTACCTACATGTTCTACCCAATTTTAAGCACAGAGGATTAATTACATTTTAATATTATGGCAGCTAGTCAGCCTACCTCATAGGTTTCCAGTCGCTTTGGCTGTGAACCATCTAAGATCTCAAAGGTAGCTTCCTGTGTATCAGAATTGATCGCAATCAAGTTTCTCTTGAAGTTTATCTTTATGTCTCTTTCCTCCACAATTTTTGTCAATGAATCAGCATATTTCTTCACACCAAATATTCTCTCCAGTGATGTGTTGAACATGACATTTGCTTTATCACGTACGTTGTTCTGAAAAAAAGAAAACAATACCATTCATTGACAACTAAGTCTCTTAAAAAATATATCATTATCTTGATTGACAGGCAGAAAAGGATTGATGTTTGTTACAGGAAAGAAAGAAGACTGCACACAGTGAATCAATACTATACATGTACCTAGCAGACTTTTCACAAGTTCATTCTGCCAGCAGTCCTACATACGCTGTACAATTTATTATTATTGTTGTTCATGTAAATGATTATTATTTTTTCCTCTTCTGTATATTTATTTAGTTTTCAATTTTAAATGAAAGTTCAAGTGCAAGTTCATTTTATTCACACTCATTCAAAAGTACATGAATACAATAATAGTAGTATGTTACACTGAGTATTACAGAAGAAGAGTGCATAAGTGGCCGAAAGAGCAGAGCTTTTGAGTTGACCACTACCACAGTGCAGTTACTGATGGGAGGCAGTTTCATTTGCAAGACTAATTACAAAGCTCACACAATTGACAAACATTAAAGGGAGAGAGTGTACAAAGATACTAACAATTAAAAGTAGGTAAATAGTTTAATTAATTAATAAAGCTAGATGATAAATGAAAAGACAAATGATGATAAAAAAACAAAAATCTTACTTCTCTGAAGTATGCTTCTGCTAAGTACATGATTTTCTGTGGAGCACCCAAACATTTAATGGGTGAATTTGGCACAGTGAAGATTGCATTTCCACCCTTAAAATTCTGTATGGCCTTCCATGTGTCATTAACTGTTAAGTGTGAGTAGTTACTTCCAACACCAGGAGTTCCTAATGCTTGTGGCAGCCCGACAACCTGTAATATACCATAACCAAAAACAATTACAGTTTCCAAGGAATTTAAGCTGCAGCCCATTTGCTCTTAGAAATTTTGCTAAAGAACACCATTTTCTTAAGGCGTACACCCAGTTCAAACGTCGATCAATTCATGTACTGAACTTAATACCTACTTGGGTCTACCCAAATTGATGTTGCTCCACAGTCGAAATTTCCATGTGGGTCACTGACACTTAATTCATGCGTCGACCGAAATTAAATGTCAGACTTAATTGATTCAAATGTTGATCTTTTTTTCCATGCACTTAATTGAAAGGTTTAGGTTCGGTACATGAAAAGTTTGACATACATTTGTATGAACTGGGCCTTAGTACAAGCAAATGTATAGTCAAGCTGGTTGCTAGTCACTATCTGGCGAAAAAGAACCAAAACTGCCCAAAACACTGTTTAAAAGTCAAGCACTTTGCAACCTTGTGAAGTTTGAGCACGTGCAGAAAGCAAAATTTTGACTTTTACCTTTCACCCTTTCACTTTCTCTCATCCCCTTCTTTTACTTCTCTTGCATTGTTTTTTGTTTGCTTTCGTCTTTTTAATAATCACTTATTAATTAATGCAGAGTCAGGGAGTTGATTGTGGTCAGTATTTTATTCCCCCCTTTATTATTCCTCATTTAACAAGATTTGAATTAAGGAATCCAGTCAAAGATACATAATTTGACAAAATTAATCAGACAAGACCACCAATAAGCCATTTTATAGACAAAATATATTATTTTCATTAGAATTACCAAATACCGAGTTGTAACTAAAGAAACGACGATAATGAGGAGATAAACCTCTTAGGGAACAGATACTGTGATTTAGAAGGAATGTCACATTTAACATCAGCATGATTAGGGAGCATGTTGAGCTAAATGTACTCACTGGGATTTACTCTAGTCCCGAGAGGGTCATAATTTTTGACATACCTTGTCAAACCTCAATTTAAGACCAACAGCAACAAAGAGAAACTCATAGGCAATCTGAAATATGAAACAGTGTAACAGTTTAGCAAAAAAGTGACATTATTATAGTGCATTCACATTATTTGTGGAGATAAGCTTACTGTATATCACAACAACAAGTTGAATAATTAGCAATATTCTTATTGGATGACCCGAATGAGGAGGGTGTTATTGGCCCAGATGGATATGAAAACACCCCCAGAGATTTGCATAATTCCTCCGATCAAACAAAGGCCAAATACAAAAATTGTTTTATTATTCACTTCAAACAATTCGTTTATATTATAAAAACACGCTTGCATTGAACAATACATTAGTAAAAATTTGCAACTGCCGCAGACCAGCCCTTTTACAGCTCTTTTGCAGTGCTTCTTGAAGTTGTTGACTGCAGCACTGCAACAGCGCTGCTCATTTTGTATGGGTCGTACAGTGTATTTTAAAGACAATTATAAAGAGGGTCCCCTATAGGGTTTTTCAATCAAGTAATCCTGACCCAAGACTTTGTGTAATCCCTTAATCCTGAGGGTTATTTTTGGCCTCCCACCTCCCGTCCATACTTTCAATCCCAAATCTCGCCCTGATTTTGCTTAAAATACCTCTAATCCCGAACTTCAAATGAGGAAATTCCAGATCCCAAAAAAATCATTGGAGTCAAGCCTCTATAAACAAAATTACATTCTATCTGTACCTCCTGTCCATCAGCTGTCACAACAAGATTTTGGTCCGGCTTGAATTCTCCGACACTTGTTTGATACCATGTACAGCCAGGTGGTATGAGACTCCCTGTAGGCCGAACAGAATCCTCCAAGCGTTCAATTCCACCACCCACTAAAGTCCACAGAGGTTGATAATAATGGTTCTAAAAAATTTCATAGTACGGAGCTCACTTAAATAGCAGTTTCAGCTATAGTTCTTACTCTTGAAACGAGTGAAATGTCCGCCATTTTTTTCTCACAACCAAAACAACTCAACCTCATCCCTAGGTCTTCTCTGTGACAGTATGTTAACCTGTAGGGGGCTGCATTTTTGACGTCATTTCCTCGTTAAACACAAAATTCTTCCAAATTTGGTCATCTGTAACTGGTTATGATGAATTATGCATGTTCTTTGAGCGAGTCAGAATTGGGGAAATATTTTGAATGAATAATAACAATGGTTATCTAAGGAGGTTGACCCCAGGGATGTTGTTATTGTTGTGCACTTTCCATTACATTGTTGGTTTTTCAATGAAATCATCACAAATGAAGAATTGCTTTGTTTGGTAACGCCAAAGAAAATGAGACAATAAAAAAGCTGCAGCATTAATTGCACACTTTAATTGGCAGACTTCTTGGCCTTCATCACTCATCTTGCATTGTCAAACTTACATGTACATGTAATTGAAATGGCAATGCAATGGTTGCTTTGATATCTAAGATTGCCATTTCATCAATAGAGATCATTGGAACTTTGATTTGGTTGGAAGTATCCGTGAAAGCCTCAATACCCCTTCCTGGGCTAAAAATTTGCCATCATCACCCACCTCCATCCCCAGCCCTGCCGCCAACCCTAAGATCACTAATGATAAGGGCATATTAGCCAGGTGCATAGCAGCTTGGCCGAGTGGTTAGAGAGCTGAACTTGTAATTGGAGGCCCAGAGTTCAAGTCCCACCCTGACTGATAGCTAGATTTGTTCTCGGTAGTCCCGAGTTCAAATCCACGGCCACGCCTCCAACCAGATGGGATTCTTATCCTTACGTTATGTTTCATTTAAACTATTTGTTTCATTATCCCTGAAAAGTCCCACAAGGAGAGAGGATAATTAAAGAGTAAAATTATACAGTGTAAAATACTAGAATCTTCTTCTAGATTTTCTTACAGCTGTATTAACTGACAAGTGCTATGGAATGACCTTTTTAATATAATAAATCGAGCATGTAATTATACCTTGACTCGACTACTAAACCTATTTTTCCACTATGTTTACAATCTGTTTCTAAAACTACATGACAATTAGATGACGCAACTCAAGTATAAGAGGCTAGCAATATCAGTTTTGACAAAAACGGGTAAAAGGCAAACGAAACGTTGAAAAATCGGCTATTATTATTGTTTCATAATAAAAATCGGCGAAGTCAAAAAACTTCCGTGCGTGACAACCCTCACGCGTGCACAAAATAAGACACGTAAGTCGAATATAGGAAACTAGGCCTCAATCTCTTCTCTACCTCGTCATCATCAACAGCTTTTTTGTCCCCTAACGAAAAGTTTACAGAACGCGAGAATATGAGGTAGAAAGTGACAATAATAAAAAGTACACACGTGAAAAGAACTCGAAATCATCTTGAGGTGCAAGAAAACATCCCAGACTGTAGACTGTGTATGATGGCCACGGGAGTCCAAATAATGTTGCACACGGTGACATTGTCAAACTAAAAATACTTATTTTAAATGCCAAAAGAAGAATAACTAACCCTTATCAATCTCACCTCTGATGGCTCAATAATAGCGGTAGCATGGGGAAATTTTCGACAAAGAGTTGACGAAATGGATAGGCCTCCAGCTCCTCCACCAACTATGAGAAATTGATGCCTTTGCTTGGCTTGCCTTTGAATAGACGTGCTGAAAGCTCTAGCACCAAGTTTGTAAAGTCCCTTGTTATACCTTGCAATAAGCATTTTCGTCTTTTAGACAAAAATGAGGACAGAAAAAACTCATTAAATAAAAGTTCACGTAAGGCACTCGCAGAGATGCCGCACACATACACTGTCTCCCAGACTGACTCGGTCGCTCTTTTAACACAGTTGATGCGTTCATGTCGGCCAGCGGAAGATATCGGCTTT